TGATGTCTTTCCTGTGACCTGTACTGAACCCAGTGGGTATTTGCGTACAATAAAGGTCTTCATAATTTCCATGGCATGTAAGGTACTATGACGACCGTTGCCGGGTGCAGTTCACTGCGGATCAACAGGGGGCGTTCAGCTTCGTCACCACGATGCCGGGGAAGTACAAGCTGGGGTATTACTACCGCCCCGCACACATCCACTACCGGTGTGTATACAACATATCATCATCTAATTTCCAAGCAGATGTCTGGCGGCAAAAGCGTTACATCTAGAGAGAGTACTCTCATCAGTACATGGTGGCAAATGGTAACTGTCTGGCAAATGGATACCGCCAATTTTATACTGTCTTTGCAGCCACAGAAAGATCTGCCTGGAGATTACATAGCATGCATCAGACCTTCAAGCCCAAGTAATGTTTATTCATATAGAAATAGAATTTCCTAGCATTGTTGAGGCAATAGCGTAGATATTAGTTCCGTATTTAGTACTTCTAATGAATTTGCCATACATTGTACCTGTTACAATTGTTCTGTATCTGTATCGGTATAGCCGGTATAACCGCCCTTCGGCGTAACACGCAAGCTTTGCAGGCACGCAGTGCGGCGGCAGCTGGCTACATTATAATAATACTCCGAACGACTTGTTACACCTAACCCTTGAAAATCTAACTCTAAACATTGTATAAAGCCATGTAATGATGTGCAGTAATGATTGTTGTGCAATAAAGTTTGTGATTTATGATGGTGTAATTTCAGTGTGACTGCGCACGGGTACCGTGAGGTCGTCACGCAGCAGTACTTCTCCCACGACACGTCGCTCGGCGTGAACGACCCGTGTGATACCTGCAACTCCGGCAGCCCCGAGCTGATTCTGGACGTCCGGGCTCCCACCGCAGACGACCTGCTGCAGATAGCACAACTCGTCAGCTTTCCCGTCAACAAGGTCGTGGAGTTTAACCCCGTCATGAGCCACTAGTGACCATGACAGCATCTAGACACATACAAGTCGCTGTTAACGTTACACGCGTAGCCATTTCTTCACATTGTTGTGATTAAAAAAAAAAGAAACTTATTCTGATGTCACATTGCCGCATGTGTCCAATATGACAGGAATCTAAACCGTTGTTTTGCATGAAGTACGCTAGGTATGCTTCTTTCTTCTTTTTGATCCGTGCATGCTTCTTTTGAGACAATATGAAGAGACATCTTCATCTGAATAGAGCGTGGTGTGATGCGGAAGCATCCCAGGTTACCATATTTGACATAATATTTTGACATAAAACAACACATATTTGCATGCCCTTTGTATTGGTTACCAGTCGACATATGTAGCGATATATGGAATAAAAGTTCTAAACGGGAACTTTGCGGCTCCAGATGTCAAATTATTACTGAGGGACGACTGCGTGTGCAAGATGTCGGTAGCTTGAGGAATGAATCCTCTCTACTATATGTAGCGATATGGTTTCATTGCCACGTGCACCCATCAAAACAAGAAAACAAGACAAGGCACATAAAAGTTTAATCATAAGTAAGCGGTATCACAGTTGCGTAATTCATCTCAAAAGGATTGTTATGTGTAACAGGACGAGTCCTAATTCCTATAAATATAGATGTTTGATATCCCTGTACCATGCGTATCTGGTACTGACTAGGGGTTCTCTTATATTATAGGCTGCAGATTGAATCGTGTCCCTAGCGGCCTTCTGAATGATCGCTCGCTCCTTTGCAGAAAAGAGGTCGTTACGACCCCGATCAGCGCCTGTGAAAGTTACATAATATGTACACTCAAACATAGCTAGTGCCCAGCACATGTTATCAATATAAACAGCTTACATAAGGCCAGGTGTTTCTTTCTCATCCAGCTAGCTAACCACCCACGTGGCAGGAAGGGTTCTTATCACCAAAGTGACGTCTGTCTTCCTGTGTTGTTGATATAATTGATCATAATTCTATCACACCTCGTTTGGTGAAGCATATGATTGGTAGCATAATAATCAATATTCGAAAAAGCATCACTATTGATACATATTATCATATAGCCGGGTGACGTTGACCAATCAGAAGGCTCCATTCCACATTCCTTATGTCGCCGTATTGTCACAAATAGAGTCAAAACGTTAGAACGTGAACCCGACCGTACCTAAATAGAGTTAGAACGTGAACCCTACCGTGTCCTCAAGTGACTCCAGATAGAACAATGTTCTATGTTCTGTTCAGCATGTGCAAGGGGTAAATTTTACATTGTGCCACTCTTCACTGCATCAGTTTGGATAGGCTATCGTGTAAGCTATATGATAATAGCGTTAATGGCCCGCCCTTTCTCGTTGAATATGGTGTGATAAAGCCTTGTCAGTTGCTATAACCACCTCATAAAGCCACCTCGTTCGCTGCGCTCACTTGGTGGCTTTATTCGGTGGTTATAGCAACTGACAAGGCTTTATCACACCATATTCACCTCGGGCCGGGTCATTAACCCTTAATTCAGATACCACTATCAGTATCATATGTCTATTGAATATGAAGAGACAGGACAATTTCTAATAAAGATAATAATCTACATATAATATGAGCAGTAGAGGACCTACCTCTCACCGACTTTCGGGCTATGTATAACTATAAGATAAGAAAGTCTTTGTCTAAATATAAATGTATATGTATATGTCTAAATATAAAACATAAAGGTTCCCCGCGGCGTATATAAGAACACAGAGACCGAACGCGCAAGCTCAGTTGCCGTGCTGTCTTGAGTACTCTGCAAAGATGCCTTCGCCGATTGTCTGCCTGTTCCTCTTGCTTGGCACAGCTTGTGCCCAGTTCGTGCCTGGTACAGACACTGGGAATGGACATCAGGATGGTAAAGTAGACCTCATTTAATTATCTGTTAACATTCACACCCCTTTAGTAGCTACATGTAGCTCGAGGGGCAACTTTATTTCTTTATTAGAGTTTTCCATTGCACAATAAAGGGGGAGACGGAACAGGTGATTGCTCGTCTCTGCTTGTTGTCTCCTCTGCAACACGAGCAGATACATAAATATATTATTTATAAAAACAATATGTAAACTAGTTACTACTGAAATATGATGAAATTAACTATAAATATAACAACTTTAGAATACAACACAGTAATAATGACATAAAGAATCCAGAGCAGATTATCGTGGTCTTGTGGCCGTACAAGAACAGCTGCAGGCACAAGGTTGGTGACTTGGCAGGATTCGAACCCCGGACCTCTTGGTTCTGAGCCGAATGATCTGCCGTTACGCCACACAACCCCATCTCCATGTACACTGAACGCCAGTGTGGAGTTGTAAACTGGACTCGCCACTCAAGGCACAGTTTACAACTCCACACTGGCGAGAAACTGTGTTACACGGACTAGGCTACTGACACTTCAGTAACATGGCTGGGTCTATTTTGTCAAAAAAAAAAAAACTTAATACACACGTATATAGCTTTATGACCTATGCTACAGTCTGTATTACGTTTCACTCATGTACTTACAGGTTGTTCAGTAACCCCCGGAGATACCCTCGGCCCGTACTACGTACCCAACTCGCCCGTATCCCGCACCATGTGCCTCGGGACGGCTGAAGACGACTACATGTTCGTCAAGGGAACGGTAAGGCCGAGACTAGTTGTAAACAGTTAGGATACTTTTGGCATCTATCGATTGTTCCTGCACACCTACCACCAAGTTCGCATCATTCGCGACTTTGCCATCATTGGCTTTATCTATTCCTTCACAATACATGGTTGTACCCAACTGAAGGAGAAATTGTCACGGATGGCAAATCCCATACTTTTACTCTTGAATATAATTTTTTTCACAACCACTTGTTTCTATGACCGTCTGTCATCTTCATCAGCGCTATTGGTCATCGAAACGTCGGCTCTTGTAATTGTTGTGAAATAAATCACTTTGATATTCAATCATTCACAAACCCAATGAAATTATTTACTGGCCCGTACTTTTTATCTTGCCGACAAAGTTAAATTTTCTTGCTTTAACATTTATTGTCTCCGTTCCGTATCGTCAGGTGTACGACGTACATTGTCACCCTGTGCATGGAGCGAACGTTAAGGTGTGGCAGGCGGACAAGACAGGACTGTGAGACATCTTACATTACTTGATTTAGAGTCTATCTTGTCTTTGGTTTGTAGCAGATAATCTTAACTCTTCCCTGTACTGTATGATGTAACGTTGATAGTTATTATTACGCCACTACAAAACTCAGGATAAGCTGCCACAAACTACACATTGAAACTGGACGTCATAACCGCACTCCACTGGAACAACG